CAGGTTAGAGCTTTTTCACTGAAGGCATGACTATGGCTGGCGTTAGGTTTGTAGCTAACTACGGTCTCCCAAGGGGGTTACATACCACACCCTCGCCATCTTACACATGACCGACGACACAGTGTCGCCGTGGATAGGATGAGTGCGGAGTGGTCACCGGGAGGGTTTGTCTTCTGACCTAGAAGCATGTTCGCGTTTGTGCATCGTTGTCGGGACTTGCCTGCCGGCTGAGCCAACTTTCGCGACTGACAGTGCCGCGCCGTATTTAAGGCAGTAACTTATAAAAAATTTTGGTGCGGAATTAGTAATCGTATTCCCAAAGTATTGCAGCTGCTTTAAGCATATTAAAGTATTCAATGAACTTTAAAATATTCCCCCACAGCCATAGGATACGAAGTACGCATTGACTAAAGTTATTTAAGACCTAGAAAAAGTGCAGTTGACCCTAACGACGAGATGAAAAGAATGCCAGCAGGAGTTGTGGCGAAGGAGAAATATGGGATTTGTAGATAAAGCTAAGACTCGGTGCGAAGAATGACTGGTTCCGAGATGGCTTTTTATGGCATATGCAAAATGGGGAAAAAGACGAAAGCCTACCAGCCAACCAGCCAAGACAGGTCGATCGTCGGGACTGAGGATGTCCACCGTTTTCTCCATAGCAAGTTGAAGCAGGCGCGGTGATTTGCGCGTGATTTATTTTATAGTGAATGAAGACTTGCATCACATCAAACGCACTGCCTTCTCCTTCCCCTCCTGGGCCCGGTGTCAAGACAGAGTCGAGAAGACCGGAGGCAGAGGAGGGAGCAGGTCGAGCCAGCACCTTGATGCTCCCATTTACACCTCCAGGTCCACACAATTTACCGAGATTTTGACCAACAACAACACTAAAACGGGTCAGAAGGACGACGATGACCAGCCAGCCATGCACAGGGCCTGTATACCCAGCGAGAACGCAAGCGCATCTACCGACAGGGAACTAGGTGTCAGAGAACTGACAGCGCATGCCGGGCTGCGACAGCCATGGTTTGCTGAATCTCGCATAGCAAACACTTGCAGACCTTAAGGCCAACCAAAATCCACCAGCGAAGAGCATGTAAAGTGGCACCTTCGCAATGCATCCCCCACGGTTGTGCCTTTACTTGTCTCTGGCCACGGGAAGAGTCTTCCTTGAAGGTGGGCTGGTGAAGCAAAGGCAACTAGTGAACAATTGTCTCAGGAGCCTATCGATTGCAATTCACAACGCACCCCCAATCTATTGCTTGTGTAGGACGGGAGAAAGCATGCCACAAAAAGGGCTTTCGAGGATTTCATCTGTTTTGCCAGCACAGGTACAGGCGCCGCCCAGATCTTGTAGATCACTTCCTAAAAGCTGTTTTCGACTGCATTTCGCTACTCACCCTGCGCTGCAGTCGTTTTCTGATGCTGATCACTGGGGTGCTTGTGATTCGAGCGTAAGTTTGGTTCAAAACGTGGCAGATAGTGAAAAACTGTTAAGAATTTTGAGGAATGCAACAGCTACAGACCGCCGTCCTGGTGATAAGGCCGTGTTCTTCACCTTCCAAAGTTCAGGTGTACGGCATCTGTTAGGTGCTGATCGAAATTCTAACTTGAAGTAGATTTGTCGTACTTATACAAGCATCGACTAGTCAGCAGGCAGGGTGTCAGTGTTAGAATAAACTACAAAGTGTAATTGGATCGGTCAAGACATGCATCTTTACCTGTTCAGAACTCCAGACGAACTCGGGCGAAGATGCTACTGAGAAACTTCTATGTTGCGTTGTAGGTGACATTATTGATTGGTTTACAGGTTTCGCAATCAGACCGCTCACAAAGTTGGAGATGAGATGCGTTTGTTGCCCGGCAATACCACGCCACGTTTCCTGAGTCAAACAATCACCTGTACGTTATTGCGTGGGCAACTCGCGTACATTTGCGTGTGCGTATGTGTTCGATCAAACATTCATACAAACTGTTTGATTGCACCGACTTGAGATGCTGCCGAGGCCTTCCCCACAACACATACGCAGCAACCTCATCGATAGCCCAAGATGACCTTCAGGCTTCAAGTACCTTTTTACTATTGGCGGTGCTCTCTCCTTTAGGCGGCGGATCGAAGAGACCACATATGATTTCAGGCGTGCCTGCCACTCATCACAGTTGATTGTGCATGAAAGCATTATTCGAACATGAATACGAATGGATTTTTCTGTGCCTTATGCAAGGGGCTGTGAGTTTTTCGTCAATTTTTCTGGATTTTTCTCATTCCTTTTTGAGAGCGCTAAAAGCTTAAGCCATCTTATCACACAGCACTTTGCGGAAGACATCAATAGATCGAGAATAGTTTTTAATGATGACTGGATTAATTGCGAACTTTCCATAAATGCATTAATTTCTGAAGAGCTAATTTCTGATCTGACCATAAAAAGTTATCCCCGGGCACTTACGGTAAACATCAATAGATCGAGAATCCAATTTAATGATGAATGAATTCATTGCGAACTATTCAGAAGTGCATTCATTTAAAGAGCGAATTTCCGATTTGATCCAAAAATTTCATCCCCCGAGCACGTAACTTCCTGCCCTGCGCATTATGATTTCTGAAATTATGATATGGACATTTGCTATGTATATATATATTTATATGGTATGGTATATATGGTATATGGTATAGCTGGCTGACGACGGCTAATAAGCCAGAAATGGCCATTCCAGTCTCCCTTGTCTTTGTCGGTAATATCATTCTGCCTATATATCCTGCGCCGCTGTGCGGCTGCTGGTTGGGCTCGAGAGAGAGCTCTTAAGGCACAACGGAACGAGTGAGTTCCGTATGAACGATCGGTGAGCGCCCCCTAACATATGTATATATTATGACAGTGGGCCCGTGGCTCAATGGTAGAGCGTCAAACTCCATGACCAAAGATCCCGGGTTCGAATCTCAAGTGATCCACACATGGGGTTGGGTATGACTGGCTGATGACGGCTAATAAGCCAGAAATGGCCATTCCGGTCTCCCTTGTCTTTGTCGGTATCATCTCATATATGTATATATATATATATATATATATATATATATATATATATATATATGTGTGTAGCTCAGAGGGGGTATGCATTCCGAGTTGATATAATAAAAAATAGAAGAGGTTCTTCGGAAAAGTCGAGTTGTACTCGTGAATTTTCGAGCTGGTGACACCAACCCGTCGTCAGACGAAATAACAACGAGGGAGAAAATTAGGTTGTCACAGTAGACAGTTGGTGTGATAGGACAGAACAGACCACTGACGTGTGTATTTATATATATATGACTGTCCTATATATGGCAAGCGTATTATAACATACCGCCTACATAGATATTAAATAAAAGCCCAGACACGTGTTCCGCCGATATACTGCCGTTGCGTGACACAGCTGGGAGGGGTTCGTCTCTTCAGTATACCCTGCACTGAATAATTCTGAAATTATTCGCTTGATTCTTCGCTGGATTTCATATACCAGAAACCGCAATGGGGACACACTGAGGAGCCGAACTTCTGGCAGTGTGTCTCGCAGCGACAGAATATCGGCAAAACACGTGTCCGAGTTTTTTTGGTGAATTTATGCCGGAAGTAAGGTATAATACGTTTGTCATATGCGTTTCATACTGCTCGTAGTACTACTTGTTTTTAGAATGAACACTACGTGGGTATTCCACTGAATTTGGTTGTCTTCGACTCAAAAATTTAATTGAAATTTCGAATCTGACACCAAAACTTCATGTCGCGGAGCCTTAAATCCATGTCCTGCACTGAATAATTTATGAAATTATTCGCTTGATATATAGATATATATATTAATAATAGGGGTGCTCAGCGATTGTTCTTACGGAATTCACTCGTTCCGTTGTGCCTGAAAGGCTCTCTCCTTACCCAACCAGTAGCCGCACAGCGGCGCATGATATAGGCAGAGTGATGCTGGCAACAAACACAAGGGGGACTGGAATGGCCATTTCTGGCGTGGGCTTTTAACTTGAAGTTCGCGAGCTCGAGCCTCGAATGTTCCACAATTCTGGGTTGGATATGACTGACTGCCGACGACTAATAAACGAGTAATGGCCATTTCAGGCTCGCTGTTTTTTCGGTGGTACCATTCTACCTACATATACTTATAAATGGAAGAAGGTAAAGAGATCTCTGGGGAGGATGATTCATTCATCTTTCTTACTCACTGCTGATGGATCCATTGTTTGCTCTTCTCATTGGCCCTCCTTTCCTGCCTTAATGGTGTATGACGGCCTCGTATGACGCCGGTAGATCAATCCTACGGTTGATCGAGTTGACGTTGGATTGCCTGGCTTCCATCATCTCTCTCGTCATTTTGCTTTCAGCTCAGTCGATTACTTCTGCCTTGTCGAAGCCGAATTGATGGTTTTGTTCGAGGCTATGCATAGAAGCATGTGATCGCACATCTTTTCGCTTTACAGCTAGAGAATGCTCATGCATGCGCAACCGTAATCGTTTGTCGGTCAGGAAACATTAATTTGCCCGACAGTCTAGGCAGTTGAAGCGGTCAACAATTCCTGACGTGTCCTCAGGTGATAACCGCCCCTTGGGCTGCATGAGCAAGCGGCGGATAGTGACATCCGGCCGGTGTCCAAGGCCCACGTTGAGTGGTCTGAGCATGCGTTCAATGGCTTCGGAAACGTCACTTACGTGGGATAATACACGGAAGATTTCACGTTGTTGTTTTTTTTCACCTTCGGTCCTCGTGTGCCTTTGATAAAGGCATTTGTTTATGAAGCTCCGTGGGTACTTATCGGAGAGAATGAGACGCCCTAGGGATTTACGCTCTTTCAGTTTTTCAGCCTATGTGCTGCAGTGGGTCTTGATGCGTAGGAAGAGTGTCCGCACGCAACTGCGTCTGTGTGCCAACGGGTGGTTACTGCTGTAATTGAGGATTTTCGCCGTATCAGTCGCCTTTCGAAAGAAACCAGTCTGGAGGACTCCATCTTCCTGTCTCGACACCTAGACATCCAGAAAGGGAATTTCTTCGTCGTTTTCTTCCTTCATTGTGAATTTTATTTGGGGGAAAATTGAGTTCAATTCCATTTTGAACCTCTCTTTCATGTCGCGAGGCAGGATGACAAAACTGTCATCCATGTAGCGCATCCAGACTTTTGGCATATAGGACTGAAAAACTCGGTTTTCCAGTTCTCGTAGAACCGCCTCAGCTAGGTAGCCGGCGATTGGTGATCCCATCGGAGTTCTCTGGATTTGCTCGAACACCTGACCATTAAAAGTAAAGTACGTGCTCAAACGGTAGTCCAATAGCTCAATAATGTGCGTCTCATTTTCTCCAGTGAGTACCCACGTAGCTTCATAAACAAATGCCTTTATCAAAGGCACACGAGGACCGAAGGTGAAAAAAAACAACAACGTGAAATCTTCCGTGTATTATCCCACGTAAGTGACGTTTCCGAAGCCATTGAACGCATGCTCAGACCACTCAACGTGGGCCTTGGACACCGGCCGGATGTCACTATCCGCCGCTTGCTCATGCAGCCCAAGGGGCGGTTATCACCTGAGGACACGTCAGGAATTGTTGACCGCTTCAACTGCCTAGACTGTCGGGCAAATTAATGTTTCCTGACCGACAAACGATTACGGTTGCGCATGCATGAGCAGTCTCTAACTGTAAAGCAAAAAGATGTGCGATCACAGGCTGCTATGCATAGCCTCGAACAAAACCATCAATTCGGCTTCGACAAGGCAGAAGTAATCGACTGAGCTGAAAGCAAAATGACGAGAGAGATGATGGAAGCCAGGCAATCCAACGTCAACTCGATCAACCGTAGGATTGATCTACCGGCGTCATACGAGGCCGTCATACACCATTAAGGCAGGAAAGGAGGGCCAATGAGAAGAGCAAACAATGGATCCATCAGCAGTGAGTAAGAAAGACTTATTTAAACCATGTATTCCCACTTTTAGTCTATCTCCGATGATGCGCTTAAGAATGAGTGAGAAACTTCAGATGAATGAATCATCCTCCCCAGAGATCTCTTTATCTACTTCCATCTTAACACATGTGTTCAGTTTTTTCGCCTATATTGATAGACATTTATATATGAAAAAGTAAGAAGTTCTTCAAAAACAATCGAGTTGTACTCGTGAATTTTCGAATTGGTGACACCAACCCGTCGTCAGACGTAATGAAGATAAAAGAGAGAGTGAGACAGTCACACTAGGCTAGTAGACGCGACAGCACAAACATTGAGGGGCGGATCACTAGCGTATGAGGAGGGATGCGAGCAGGGAGTCATGCAGGGAGTCATATATATATATATATATATGAGAAGAAGAGGCGATCTCGGGAACCATGATTGTATTGTCCTGAAGTTTCAAAAGCAGACAAGGTTTCATCGTCGGAGGTGAGTATCGTACGGCATCACACAGTATTTATAGGATGGGGATAGATATCATCCATGCTAACACGGTGGTAATTATATATATGAATAACAGATGTATAGTTATGAACTTATATACATATATATAGGCTAATGTCGCGTTCATCATCTCCCAAAGAAGACGAAGAAGAAGAGAGGGCGAATCCATGGACCATATTGTATTCGAACTGACGTTTCGGAATATTCCTCGTTTCTATCATCAGAGTAGCGTAATTGTTGCACTTGCGGGTCTTGAGTTATTCGGTCTTGCCGCTTGCCTCGTATTATAGCCGTGCTGGACGCACGAACTTTGACCTGCCTGTTTGCCGCTGACTGGCTTAGACCTCCCCGGAGCTGACCGCTGATAGGCCTGCGTGACCTTTGTTCCCTTTGGGGTCGACTTAGTTGTGGTCAAATCAACGTGCCGTTTGGCCCCTCCCACGTCAGCCGGTGGACTGATCGGTCGTTGCTGTTCAGGTGAGCAGCATTCAGCTTCGAGGGTGCATCGGTGAGACAGTGTTCGGCTTTGGTCACATGACCTCTGGCCCCCAATTCCGCTCTTTTCCGTGAGCGTTGACTCTCGGTCCCGCGTGCTCGCTTGCCTTACTGGTCCTGTCCGGACTGATCCGAGCCTTGTACGGAGTGCTTGGTAGGCGGGATGGAGATCTATAGCTCGGTTGAGTGTACCAGTCGAGGACCAACTTTCGAGCACCAGTCTGGCCATCTTCTCATTGGCTCGACCAATTACCCTCGCTTTCTCAAAGGCAAAATTGTGGTTCAGTTCTCGTATGTGGCCATAGACCAAAGACAGCTTGTCCTTGCGGTTGATTGCAACTTGGTGTTCGTGCAATCTTGTGCCGAGGCGTTTGCCCGTTTCACCAACATACCTTGCATTGCAGTTTAGACATGGTATGCTGTAGACCACCGCCGACTGTTCTGTTGTTGGTAGCGGGTCCTTGGGCTTCATGATTTGCTGTCTGATGGTACATTCTGGTTTATGAGCCACGCCAATTCCAAAAGGTTTTAGGATTCTTGCCGTTGTCTCTGATACGTTCTTCACATAGGGTAGAGAGCCAGAACTTGGGCTTTTCTCCACTCGACCGCTCAAAATGAGGCTTTTTAAGGCATTTGCGTATGAAGGACTTCGGGTAGCCGTTGGCTTTTAAAAGGCCCTGTAAGTAATTCATCTCCGCCTTCCTCCCACTGTCGTCGCTACAGTGTGTTTGAACACGTTGAAAGAGAGTTCTGACACAACTGCGTTTATGACCAACAGGGTGGTTGCTTCGGAAGTGGAGGATGCGCCTAGTATTTGTTGCCTTACGGTAAACCGTTGTCCTTATCTTCCCGTCTGTCAATCTCGTAACTTCTACGTCCAGGAAGGGCAACTGATTGTTTACTTCCTCTTCCATAGTAAACTGAATGTCGGGGAAGATTGAGTTCAACAATGTCTTGAAAGCCTTCACCTCGCTCCTCTTGATTACAACGAACGTGTCGTCGACGTATCTCGCCCAGAACTTCGGGGGGTACGAGCTGAAGACCTGCTGCTCGAGCCTCTGCAAAACTGCTTCGGCAATTAGTCCAGACAGAGGCGAGCCCATCGGTGTCCCCTTCTTTTGCTCGTAGACTTGGCCGTTGAATGTAAAGAAGGTCTTAAGACACAGTTCTAGGAGCTCGATGATGTGTGCTCGTTTGAGCTGTTGGTCGGTCTCATCATACTTTTCCCAGAGAAAGCCATCAATAGTGTCGATAGCCAGCGCGGGTGGGATGGAGGTGAATAATGAGATCACGTCGAATGTCTGGACTAATTGCCGAAGCAGTTTTGCAGAGACTCGAGCAGCAGGTCTTCAGCTCGTACCCCCCGAAGTTCTGGGCCAGATACGTCGACGACACGTTCGTTGTAATCAAGAGGAGCGAGGTGAAGGCTTTCAAGACATTGTTGAACTCAATCTTCCCCGTCATTCAGTTTACTATGGAAGAGGAAGTAAACAATCAGTTGCCCTTCCTGGACGACGTTGATTTGTCCCGTAAATGTATTTCCCCAATGCCGGCTTGATTCTCTCTTTTGCTCTCCGTTGCGTCAGTCGACTGTCTACATCTATCAAGCGACTTCAACTAGCGCAGTGCCCGACAGACCTATAAAACACTTCTACCGGTGCCAACCGCGGGTATATCAGGATCGGTCAGAAAACACGCTTCCCACCAAAGTAAAATGTGCATATTCCAATAAGTGGTTTTAGACCGCCGATTGTGAAGCATATCACATGCTTATTAGGTGGTAGGAGGTATAATCGTTACGATGTATGACGCACGGGGTGAAGAAGATGTGAGTGGAGGTAGGAAAAGGTGTGATGATGGGGTCTGGGTAACGTAGTTATTGCGGAAATTTTCATGGTCAGTGCGATGACGCAGTGTCCTTCGACAGTATGAGCAGGTTTGGCGGGTTTAACCGGTGCAGATTTAGAACCCTGGCACCCGTTTCCAAGCCTCAGCGCGTCGGGTTGACTAGCAACCGACCAAACCAAATCGTTACTTAGAAGTGCGTTTGTGGTGTGCACAGGCTGACACTTTAGTGGTTGAGCTGGTGGTGGTGGTGGTGGTGGTGGTGGTGGTGGTGGTGGTGGTGGTGGTGGTGGTGATGGTGGTGGTGAGGATGAATGAGATTTGGCGTAAAAAAGTTGAGCACGTCTAGTTGACCGTTCCACGAATTCCCCTCTCGCGGGTGTGCACGTGTCCGAAAATCTCTTGCGCTGTCTTGAGTCCTAGGGCGTGTTGGGAAGATCAGGCGAGTGCTACGGGTGTGGGTCAGGGTTCCAAACACTCGTTGGTCGGCCTCAGTGACTTGGATTAGCAGGTGGTTGATAGTGTCAGTGATGGAAGCTAAGGTGCGATCTTTATGGGGATCGATTGGGATTAAGTACATACCCCTGGCGGACTGGACGATGATGGCCATGACATTGTTCTCATCAGTGGTGGGAGTAGTGGCGGTGGTTTTTGCCTTTGTATAGTTGGCGGCAAACTTAACAATGGTAGAGACAAAACTGATATATAAGAACTACACTGCGTCTACAGATGTCCGACAAGGCCGATCCGTGTGCGAAATGTTCTATAAAAACTCAAACACGACTGGAATTTCTGGTTTTTTGAATACTGATTCGAGTTGCCTAGGAGTGCGAACTGCTCTTTTTGCTCCGGCTGCGGCTATCCGAATGATCCTGAAGATGATTGTTCGAGGTTTCATGGTAGCTCACTATGCCTGACTGTCCAAAGCAAGATCCTTCGCAGGTGTTTGAGGGGAGACTGTGGGATATTCTTGCATTGTCAATGACTTCCATCTTGCTTCACGACAGCATGTTGGAAACTGGATTCTCTGCATCCTGGTCAAATCAAATGACGCAGGAAAATTGAGTTGAAGGCAAAAGGGGAATTCATGAGGATTGTGCGGTTGCGTGTTCAGATCACGCTGGGTGGCCGCGGACCATGTCGGAGTCACCAATATCGCAGCAGGTATGGGGTGATCAACGCTCAGGACCTTTTCGCAAGTTGCACGTCAAAGTCGGAGTGTCTTCGTCCCTCGACAAGCAACTAGAATTGATCAGTCATACGGGGGCTTCAATGGTCGGCGGACGCGGTCACACCCTAGGTAGACTGTCTTGCTCGATACAAGACTTGAAGACTGATAGCGGGGGCGCAACTGGAGGCCGTGTACGCACAAATTATCGGAGACGGTACAGGAGGTTGGAAGGTTCCTCGGCCACACCTGGAGGAGTTGGCGAGATCATCGCACCAGGAAGTCGGGCAGTAGTGCCGAACACGAGTTTAGCGACGGAACAGCCAAGGTCTGACTCGAGAGAGGAGCATATACCCAACGGGAACAGGGAAAGATGGTCCATCTAATTCATCGCGCCCTCTACAGCGCTTAGGAAGGTCTTCAACTGTTGGTAAAAACGCCCAATCATCCCGTTGACTGCAGATTGAGAGGCTGTATTTCGAATGCGAGTACAGCCCAAAAAGGAGAGAAGAGACTAGAATAGGTGAGACTCGAACTGGTCACCGCGGTCAGTCGAGATGGTAGAGGGAGCACCGAAGATGGCCACTCAGCGAGTGAGAAAAGCCTTGACGACTGTTGAAGCAGGATATCAGGCAGAGGGATATCTTCCGGCCACCGCGTGAGACGATCCACACAAGTAAGGAGATAGGAACAGCCATTAAGCAAAAACAGATGGTCTACGATGTTCAGGTGGACATGACTGAACCGTGCGTCCTAAGTGGGGAAGGTGCAGATAGGAGCTTTGTTGTGCCATTGGAGCTTTCTCAGCTGACAATGGGGACACGCACGTGTCCATGCTTTCAGGTCCTTGTGCATCCCAGGCCAGACGAAGCGGTCGGAAATCAGCTTGTCGGTAGCTGGACTTCCAGGCTGCGATAGGTTATGCAGGGAGGAAGGGACTTTGAGACGGAGGGATGGCGGCACAAAGAGACGGTTGGAAGTGGTGGAGACGTTGCATACAATGGTGCCGTTTTCAGTAGTCAGTGAGAGGTCCTGGAGTTGGAGTTCAGAAACGCCCTCGTCACAGGGAAAACCAACATGGCGTTGTTCGGCAGCCATCTCAACAAGGTCCATCCCGAGAGAAAGTTGTAGGTGTAAAATGAGGGGTCTAGACAGTGCGTCAGCCACCTCACTGAGTGGCCCATCGATGTGACGGATTTCTCAGGTGAACTGAGAGATGTAGCCTAGTTGGCGAATTCTCCTGTGGTTGGATTTCTTGCAGGTGGACTTGAATGCGAGTGAAAGGGGCTTCTAACCCGTGAACGTTGGGGAGTCCCTGACCTCAAGGAAGTGCCGGAAGTGCTTCATGGCGAAGAAAACAGCAAGGAGCTCCCGTCTACATGTGTTAAAGCGCGTCTCGGTAGGTGATAACTTCCGGGAGAAAAAAGCTAAAAGTTGGGTGTAGCCTGTAAGGTGCCGTTGGACGACCGCGCCTACTGCAACATTGAAGGCGTCAACCACGAAGAGGATGGGAACTTTGGGAGAAAAATGCGCCATGCGGGTGGCGTCGGTCAGGGCAGCCTTCACCTTGTCAAAAACATCGAGGATGCCTTCAGACAGCTCTAACGAAAGTTTTGGACCCGAAAGGAGGTTCGTGAGCGGCAGGATGGCGTCAGCAGAGTACGGGAGGGACCAACGGTAGAAATTCACCACAGCTGACAGTTTGGAAGAGGGAGGTGGAAAATCACGTATAGCCGCAACCTTCGATGGAAGTGGATGAACACCGTTGGGATCAGCCAGATGTCCAAGAAATTATAGGCAGGACACACGGAAGACGCATTTGGACGGGTTGAGAACAACGTCAAGTTGTTAAAGGTGGTGAAACACCGTTTCAAGATGCTCCATATGTTCTTCGGTGGTAGAGCTTGCTTCCAAGAGGTCATCAAGGTAGGCGTAGACAAATAGCAGGCGGCGAAGCCATCTGTCTACGAACCTCTGGAAGGTATGAGAGGCGCTGCAGAGAGTGAGGGTGTGTAGTGACTGGAGTACTTTAGGTTGGTGAGAAAACAGCCGCTGATGGTGGCGGACATGGTGGAGGAAGGAATATATGGGACGGAGGAGGAGAAGTGGGTTGGTGAGATGAAGGAGTAGCGTGTAAGGAGACACAGCGTTCGTCCGGCGGGGTTTCTGGGACAGAATTGCAGAGAGACATATCGAAGGCACCCAGGCGTGCGTGCTAAAACGGGCTGTTGTTGATGCTTAGGTGCAGGCGTTAGCGAGAGGCACGAGGTACCATAGGCACGTGGTGTGTCGTCATTGCAGATTCCTGTGCAACAGTGGTGTTCCCAAAGTGCATTGGACTGACAGTCGTACTAAACGGCAAATGGTGAACTTAAACACTCACAAGTATCATGTTGAGCTCACTTCAAAGCGTTCAGTGCGATGGCCACAGAACTTCCAGCGAGTCCTTTCGTCCATCAGTTGACTCATCAGAACATATACCTACCACCAGCCAGATGAGCGTGGAAACAGCGAAACCGAGGAATGTGGATGACGTGGGTAGGGACCGGGATGGAGCTCTAAGTACTCTAAGCACCGATGACGTTAAGGGACTAGCAGCAAACATAAGAGTTTGGTTTTGAGGTGGCTTCCCATCGGTGTGAAGCAGATTGCGAGTTCGAAGAACGAACTGCAGATCGCGTCTGCTAAGCCAAAAACTGGAATATCCTGAACTTAGGTTTTGGAAAAAAATCATCTTTGCGCATTACACACGATTGACGTAATGGACGGAAGATGCCAAACTGCTTTATTGGGTTGTCCTCACAGCAAGTGGAAGAGAAGGTCTTCGCCGTTGCCCTCACCGACAACCTCACAGTTTTTTGATCCTCCTACTAAACCCTTAAGGGTAGTAGAAATACACAGTCATACTACAGGGCCGTGAAGTCTACAAAATGGTAGTCTGTAAGTTTCGCAGTTTTGGTTGTGGTTATGCTTGGGGCTAAGATAAGGAAGAATCCTGTGTGGAGATTTAAGAGAAGGCTAATGTTAGCGCTGGGGTAGATTTATCAAAACGTAAATCTACCACCAGCATTCGACCTATCGATGCCCTGACACGAAAGCGGGTTGCTTATCCAAAGTCCTTCAGGTCTCTGTAAGGCAGCGAATGACGGCAGCGGATTCTATCAGTATATATATATATATATATATATATATATATATATATACATATATATATGTAAATCAGGTGGAACTGACAAAGACAAGGGAGACCGGAATGTCCATTTCTGGCGTATTAGCCGTCATCAGCCAGTCATACCCAACCCCAAGTGTGGATCACTTGAGATTCGAACCCGGGATCTTTGGTCATGGAGTTGAACGCTCTACCATTGAGCCACGGACCCGTTGTCTTGTCGGTTGTGATCGGGAATATTAATTATGATAGTGGGCGCTCACCGATCAGGTTACGGAACATGCTCGTTCCGTTGTGCCTTGGGGCTCATACTCGAACCCTCGCAGGCAGTCGCACAGCGACTAGTAGAATGATGTAAATCAGGTGGTACCGACAAAGACAAGGCTCAATGGTAGAGCGTTCAACTCCATGACCAAAGATTCCGGGTTCGAATCTCAAGTGATCCACACTTGGGGTTGGGTATGACTGGCTGATGACGGCTAATAAGCCAGAAATGGCCATTCCGGTCTCCCTTGTCTTTGTCGGTATCTCCTTCTCAACATATATCACTGGTCGCTGTGCGAATGCCTGCGAGGGTTCGAGTATGAGCCCCAAGGCACAACGGAACGAGCATGTTCCGTAACCTGATCGGTGAGCGCCCACTATCATGATATATATATATGTATATGAGACGATAAGTCGATCACAGGAAACATGGATTTATTTGCCTGACGTTTCGAACGCAAACAAGCTTCCATCATCGGAGGTGGGTTACGTACTGCATGTCACAGTATTTAAGGGTTTTCTTTCGTGCTGGCGTGTCACTGACTTCCAGCGCGCTGCATCACACGGTATGGCGATGGTTTTCATGGCGGCATCGGTTCCTCCTCATCCTTTGTCAGGTGTGGGGAGGTGTTCGCAACATATAAGCCCAAATTTTGGGCGCGGTATGTGGACGACACTTTCGTCGTTCTCAAACGGGAAATGGTCTCGAATTTCCACGCGCTACTGAACTCTGTTCTTCCCGATATCCAATTCACCATGGAGACAGAGAACAACAATCAGATCGCCTTTCTAGACGTTCTGGTCCATCGCAAGGTCAACGGGAGCCTAAAAATCACGGTCTACAGGAAGGCCACTAACACTCGCCAAATACTGTCCTACCACAGCAATCACCCGCTGTGTCACAAACGAAGCTGTGTTCGGTCTCTCTACAGGAGAGTTGACACTCACTGCAGCGAACCGACCGACAAGGTAGCCGAACTCCCCTATTTACGGCGGATGTTCACCTCCAACGATTTCCCCGCAGATTTATAGAACGCAGCAGACTGTCCAGACCAACCGTAAAGTCAACGGCAAATCAGCCGAAAGTCTGGCGAGCGCTGCCATATATTGCGAACGTTTCCGAGGCAGTTGCTCGTATCTTGCAACCATTGGGTATCGGCATCGCCCACAAACCCGAAGCGACAATTAGACGTTTGGTTATGAGACCAAAAACGCCTCTGCCACGAGGCGAAACTGCCAACGTCGTCTACCGGATCCCGTGTAGTTCCTGCGAGGCAAAATACGTTTGAGAAACCGGGAAGAGATTGCAGACCCGCATGGACGAGCACGCAAGAACGGTACGAAGAATGGATCAGCTCTCGTTGGTGGAAGAACATTGCGCAGCTTTTGGTCACGCCTTCGCCTTCCTAGACGCCGAAGTCTTGGGCCAAGGGAGCGACAAAAGGTCAGGGAGACGCCCGAAGTCTGGCACACCACAACCACCTCAATCAACCGATGCGTAACTCTGCCGGCTGCCTACCAAGCCCTACGGGTGAAGTTCAATAGGCAGGGCTACCGACGAGTCGTCAGGCCAGAGACGGCAGTAATCAAACCCGGACCAAGCGGGAACGCGGACGGGCATACACAGGCACCGAAAACGGACGAAACCGGGGGACAACCGGCGGCGAACGCAAACTCAGGAGACCGCCTTCTGGTTCCGAACGCAGACAGACGCCAGCACTCGATGAGAACGCCCGACAGTAACAGAACGCCCCAGCCCGACGTCAACACTGGCGTGACAACCACCGTAAACACGGTTACGGGCAGGTGGGAATGGGATAGCGAGACGAGCCCCACGACAGTGACAGGACCCCCCAGCCCGACGTCAACAGTGGCATGACAACCACCGTCCACGCGGATACGCGCTGGTGCGAACGGGGCAGGAAGGCGAGATGCGTCGAGGGCGGATAACGGACAATTAAAACAAGAGCAATGGCCGCGGTCACCTCGGCGCCCCCCCTTACACACACCCGGCAAAGGATGAGGAGGAACCGACGTCGCCATGACAAACATCGCCATACCGTGTGATGCAGCGCGCTGGAAGTCAGTGACACGAAAGCACGAAAAAAACCCTTAAATACTATGACGTGCAGTACGTAACCCACCTTCGATGATGGAAGCTTGTTTGCTTTCGAAACGTCAGGCAAATCAATCCATGGTTCCTGTGATCGCCTTATCTTCTCAGTTATATCCGGAAACGTGCATTTTCGCTTCAATCAGCAATATATATATATATATATATATATATATAAAAGGAATGGGCGCACACCGATCTATTGGCTTCACAAAGCAAACAAGCTCCGTATGTGTGGCAAAGGTCACGAACAGGCAACCAATTATCAGGCCGAAGTCGGCCAAGTCATAATAGCAGCGAGGAGGGACGACAGAGAATGCGGGTAGATTGATACAGCACTGTTTCGGCTTATTCTGCCTTCATTCAGCCAATCATAACCCTGACCAACAGCAGCTGCGACCAGAAACACAAACATGCGCACAGACGCACCTGGCGCAGTCGGTCCACCACTGAGGCCTACCAGATGGGTCATAAGCACTTCATCGAACCGAAGTTCATCAGTGCCTCGTCACCTGTCATTCTCTGTCGCTGCAGATCGGGTATTTATTAATCAGGAATGGGCGCGCA